GGTTTAGAAGTAAGTCTATAGTATCATCTGGTCCTCTCCCCCAGAGTGACTGCAGGCGCAGAGCCTCAATCATCTGGCTTGAAAACTTACTGACAATTGCCACTGTGGAAAATTTCAAACCAAGTGGTTGAACTGGGAAGAAAACAACTGTATTGGTTTGCTGTAGGCCGCTGTAACAAGTACCACTCAGCGAGCAGCTCAAATAACAGAAATGTACCATCTTGAAGTTCTGGAGGCCAGAAATCTGAGGTCAAGGCATCTTCTGAGGGCTAAAAAGGAGAATCTCTCCCAGTTTCTGGCAGTTTGGAGCTTTCCTTACCTCGCAGATGACAAGCCTCCTGTGTCTTCACCTTGTCCTCTCTCTGGGTCTTCTGTGTGTCCAAATGTCTATCTTTTTTAAAAAGTTCACCAGTTGTATTGAATCGGGGGCTGCCCTAATGACCTCATCCTAACTTGATCATCTGCAAGGACCCTGTGGCCAAGTAAGGTCACAGCACATCTAGTAAGTCCTAGAAACCAAGGATTAGGACTTCAGTGTCCTTTATGGGGGGAGGGGAGAGAACAATGCAGCCTATAACACTAGCCATGTGTTTGCACACCCACAGGTTCACCACCCATTATCCTACTTTGAGCTGAAAATGCTGTGTGCCCACTTGAATATTCTAAGTTCTTTTTAATAGTGCCTTAACTACCCTAGAACTGAGGGGCTTACGTGCCAAAAAGGAATACAATTCCTTCCTTTGACCACCTGGAGAATGAACCTTCTCCAGGGCACAGGGCAAAGGTGAGACCCAGGCCGTATGGAAAAAAACGAGATCCCAGCCCATTCAAAACAGATGTCTCTCATTCTGGAACAAGGGTGTGGGTTGTGGCCGAGCCACTGTTCTTCCTATGGAAATTCACCAAAAACTGGGGGTGAAACCTGACCTGACTGAACTCTTGTAGTAAAGCAGTGCTTTGTCTTTCACATACATGGTAGAATAATTCACTGTATCATGAGATGGATAATCTAGAGGTCAAATTGAATCTAGTGTAAATTATGACAACATTATGTAAATCCAACATGACATATCCTGGCATTGGCCATCCTACGAATGCCAAGGTCAGTGAAGGCTTCTTTCTCTAATTTTCATCCACAAGTTTATAACATTAAATATGCAAAAAAATGGTATTTTTTAAATTGTCTTTAACCTAACGTCCTCATGATTTAAATATAAGTCCCAGTGTCCATGTCAAAAATGTAGTGAACATATAAATGTGAAAATATCAAATAAAAGGGGCAAATGCTATGACCATGGGACCAAAAAGTAACAGAATGTTTCCCTTCATCATTCTGCCCTCCTGACCACCACTTGGAAAATTGTGCTTCTAAAATAATTCATGTTAATGTGTGGCAGAAACCAGCCACTATAAAGCAACTATCCTTCAATAAAAAAATTTAAAAGTATATATAGCGACGAAAGGTTAGAGCTTCCTTGGTTTGATTAACCTAATTAAGGAGGCTATTTAAAGACAGTGCTGATGACACTCAATCTTATTACTGTATTTTAAAATGAAGAATGCATATAAATGTTCCCTATTTAATAACTGGATGAACCCACCAGAGTGTCTTAGAGCTGAGAGACAAGAATTTTTACAAAAGAAAATTCTAAACTAAAGCATGAATGGAGGAGAGTTGAAGGGAACTATATGCCTCTACAAGGGAGAATATTTTTCCTCTCTTGCCTTTCCTGTGAATTCCTTTTTTTCCATAATAAAGGACAGAGAATTTAACATTTAATTTAAGGTTTAATTTAAGTTCGTAGAGAACTTAACAGCCTTTGAAATTATGAAGGAGATTCTGACTCCGCCTATAACATCCATTCTAGTTGCCTGTGGTGGGCACTCTGAGGATGGGAGTATAAGTGATTATTATACATCTTCTATCATAGACACATAAAAAGTACCAAATCCCAATGAAACATTTGCATACAATTCATTCTCTGTAGTATGGCCATTGTGAAAACCCTGGTAAAAATCCAAATTTTGTTCAAGCTCAAATAATGCATGTAAATCGGTATGCAGATAACAGGGACCTGGTGCCACGTTGATGAAAAATGTCAGCAGGGACATCTGTCCTTCTCTCTCTCCAGTCCCACCCCACCCTAAATTGTCCTTTAACTTAGACTCCCCCTATAATTCAGGGCCTTCTTTCTTTGAGGATTCATCCTGGTTTGCTTTTAAACATGCTCATGTCTACTGTTGATTTCTATCCTAGGAACCTAGTCATCCATGCCCTCCAGCCTGAATTGCTCATATTCACTGAAGACAGCAAAGAAGAGGAATGGAACATGCTGATGCCTGGTCCTAAAAGCTACAGTGTGAAACAGGCTCTGCCATAAACTCATTATAAGACTTGAATAAAGACCTGCCTCTCAAGTCTTAGTCTCCTCATCTGTAAGACAGAGAAATTATGACCATCACCACTGTATGGCTGTGAGAATTCAAGGGTCTAGTGAACCTGGCACATGTTAAATGCTTGGGAAATGTTAGTTATTATCATCATCACTAGTACTAATGGCTGTCAATGCTTTATCATTTAGGTGTCTAATATCCATTGTTTCTTTACAATCATATCACAAATGTATTTCTTTATCTGCAGCAAATGAGTCATTAGAGTTCATTTAGTTTACTGTTCTCATCGCTCACGTGTCACATCAGTCTAACCTCTTCTGTCTCTTTCTTCTACTTTTAAGGCCTCTTCTGATTACATTGGACCCTCCAGGATAACCCAGGATAATCTTCCCATTAAGTTCAGCTGATCATCAACTTGAATTCCACCTGTAGCTTTCATCTTCCATTGCCACATCAGGTAACACACGCACAGGTTCTGGGGATATGATGTGGACACCTTTGGGGAAGCCATTACTCTACCTGCCACAAACTTACAGGGACTTTAAGTATTTCTACAACTTTTCTGCCATAAGGCTTTTATTTTTTATTCAAAATAGAGAATGCTCAATTTTAAAGGGATGTCATTGCTTAAACAGCAAATGAGTTTACCTGTTTGCATTAAATGCCTTCATCAGCTCTGGGACTTGGGGAATGTCTACAGCACTCCCATTTCACAGATTAACACCTGGGGCTGGAATTGGATTCCTATGTCCTGCTCCCAGTGAACTGGTTTCTCTTTATCCCTTTCTGCCTTCATAAAGGCCCCTAGAATTACTGCTCTTAATTCCACAGAGTGGGCCAATCTTCAGCATGGCCTGGGCTGGCAAAACATGTACATTTCAGGCAAAAATCAATAAAAAAGACCAATACTGTAAAAAAATCAGGGTAGAAAAAGAGTTTGATCAGAATTCAGAATATTTAATAAAAATTCTGTCATGTATACGCAAAAGTACTTTGAATTTCTCCCCTGTATCTTATTCTGATAAATGTGAAAACTGAGTAATTGAGATGATTTTTCAATAAAATGTGAAAGATATGGAAAAGCTGAATGAATGAATAACTAGGGAAAAAATTTTCCTAGTTGTCTGCAATTTCCTTAGAAGAAGGATGGAAGACTTTTCCCTTTCCTCCCCCAAGTCCTAAAATGAAAATGAAAACGGGAAAAAAAAAAAAAAACAGAAAAATAAGCCTACAGACTAATCTCCCTTATGATTATCTATGACAAATTCTAAATGAAATATTAGCAGTTTAATTTGGAAATGTATTCTAAAAATATTACACTGTGATCAAGAAGAATTTATTCTAAGTATGCAAGAATGATTTACTTCAGAAATCCCAAATGGCTCACTGCATTTGATCAAAAGAGAAGTCACAGAGTATTAACTCTTTAAAATTCAAAGTGTATTTGGTAATCTGTTGTTGTTTAGTTGCTTAGCCATGTCCAACTTTTTTGTCACCCCATAGACTGTAGCCTGCCAGCCTCCTCTGTCCATGGGAATTTCTGGGCATGAATACTGGAGTGGATAGCATTTCCTTCTCCAGGAGATCTTCCCGACCCAGGGATCAAACCCGTGTCTTCTGTACTACAGGCAGGTTCTTTACCACGGAGCAACCTGAGAAGCCATATTTGATAACATTCAACATCTAATATTGATTTTATCAGTCTTTTAATAAACCAGAATTAGATACCAATATTTCTTACCATGATAAGGACCACTGGTCCACAGTTTAAGCCAGCCATCATTAATGCTGAGATACCCACATTAATGTTTGGAAAAGATGTGACACCTACTACTGCCACTGGTTTTTCAAAATTGTTCTGAAAGTTCTAGTCTTGCAAAAAGTCTTTAAAAGACAAATGACAACCCATAAAGATTGTAAAGGAAAAAGCAAGTTATTAGAAGTAGCAGTAAAGAAAATAACGGAATTTAACTGAAAAATATAAAAAGGACTGAATAAAAGAAGGGACAAGCCATATTCTGGGCTAAAAGCATAAAGAGGAAAACTCACCTTCCCCTGTCCCCAATAATTAGTAGATATAATTAATTTTTTAAATTCCAGTAGGATTTTTGAAAACATGGCAGTGAAAAGTTAAAGTACAACTGGGAGAATTAAATATTTCATAATTGAACACCTCATTGAATAATAAGAAACATAAGACTGATGTTAGGAGATACATGAACTTCATGAATATATAGTATAATCACATGCAGAAGCACAAATATACTATAAAATAGTAAAAATGACAGAAATAAAAACAATCTGAAAGTATAGAGTATTAGGTATAGTAATTATAAAGTCATAAAGAGACTTCAAGTCAGGCATTGAATAGCATATAAAAAAAATACTATGCCACCAGATCACATTCTCATATTTAGAATGATCTCAAACCTGTAAACATATACTCCAAACATGTACAGATAAACTATATATATTTTTATGCTGCCCCCCAAATTTTTAAACATCCATTAAAGAAAAAACTGAAAGATAATGTCTACGAAAATTGTAACATGGGTATAAGCATTCTCTCTAGATGACATGCTTTTCTTTCCTCTTTCTTTTAATTTATTTATATTTTTAAACTTTTTATTTTATAATGGAGTATAGTTGGTCAACAATGTTCTGACAGTTTTAGGTGGACAGCAAAGAGACCTGGTCGTACATATATATGTAAATGTTATTTTCTTCTTCATGCTTCATTTTCCAACATTTTCTGGAAGGAATACACTATAAAATCAGAAAAGACACAATATACCCATATCACTTTGCATAATGTTTTGTGGAAATACTTATTCTTTTTTAAATCACAGAAATCTCTGAAAATCTTATATTTTCAGTACTCACCCCCCAAACTGCATTATATACAAATAAACACCAACTTTTGCATAAAGTTAAAGGTCTTATATTCAAAGACCCTAGGCAAAGAATAAACTGTGTACAAATTTCAAACCAGTTTCTCATGCATTGTCTCCATTTGCTGTTGTTCAGTGGACAAGTCGTGTCCAACTCTTTCCAACCCCATGGACTATAGCATGTCCCTCACCATCTCTTGTAGTTTGCCCAAGTTCATGTCTATTGAATCGGTGATGCAACCAACCATCTCATCCTCTGTCACCCTCTTCTCCTTCTGCCTTTAATCTTTCCCAGCATCAGGGTATTTTCCAGTGAGTCAGCTGTTCACATCAGGTGGCCAAAAGTATTGGAGCTTCAGAGTCAGTATCAGTCCTTCCAAGGAGTATTCATTGTTGATTTCCTTTAAGATTGACTGATTTTATCTTGTTGCCTTTCAAGGGAAGGTCAAGAATCTTTTCCAGCACCACAGTTCGAAAGCATCAATTCTTGGGCTCTCAGCCCTCTTTACTGTCCAGCTCTCACATCTGTACATGACTACTGGAAAGACCATAGCCTTGACTATATGGACCTTTGCTGGCAAAGTTTTGTCTTTGCTTTTTAACAAACTGTCTAGGTTTGCCATAGTTTTCCAGCCAAGAAGAAAGTGTCTTCTAATTTTCATGACTGCAGTCACCATCGCAGTGATTATAGAGCCAAAGAGGAAGAAATCTGTCACTGCTTCCACATTTACCCCTTCAATTTGCTATGAAGTCATGGACCAGATACCATTATCTTAGTTTTTTTTTTTTTAATATTGAGTTTTAAGCCAGCTTTTTCACTCTCCTCCTTCACCCTCATGAAGAGGCTCTTTAGTTCCTCTTTGCTTTCTGCCACTATAGATCCTCACCAAAACTTCATAATATTACAGATGCTACTTTGGCCATTTTGAAGATGAATATATTGAGTAACAGGGCTTCCCAGGTGGCTCCACAGTAATGAATCTGTCTGCAGTTCAGGAGATACAAGTTTAATCCCTGGGTTTGGGAAGATCCCCTGGAGAAGGAAATGGTAATCCATTCCAGTATTCTTACCTGGAAAATCCTATGCACAGAGGAGCCTGGTGGGCTACAGTCCATGGAAGTCAGAAAGAGTCAGACTCAACTGATCAACTAAACAACAAGCTGAGTAACAGAAGTTCAGGATACACAGCTAACGGGGACAACACAAGTGGCTGAGTCTTCATGCCCAGCACTTACTGTTCTGTGTTATAGCACAGCTTGAATTTCTTAAGTGCAGAATAGGATATTGTCAAATAAGCAAAACCTGAGCTTGAGTCCTGATCGACCCCTGAAACTTTGGAAAACCCCCCAACTTCACCATGACTTGGTTTGCTCATCATTAAAGCAGAGATAATACTACTTGCCCTGCATATGCCCCTGAGTTGTTATGGAGCTGAAATGTCGAGGAAGCCACTTGCAAACAGAATTTATCTTTATTATTATTAATACATAGACATTTCTATTACGAATCTATTAAAACTCAAGCCGGCTCTGGGATAAGTGCTGATGGAATGTAGGTGGTGCCAGGGGCTGGGGGAGACAAAGCTTGTTACTTAAAAGCAATTAAAATGTACCATTCTTTGTTGAAAAACTGTGTCTCTCTGAGTAATTAGCAGTCTGTTGTGCACTGAACAATGGTTTGCAGGCAGAATTCTCTCCTGTCAGTTGCAGGTGCCATCCTGTAAAATGAATCAACAAAATGGGGAGTTCCCTGCTTTAATTTTTTTTTTTTCATTTTCACAGGTATCCGTCTAATTTAATGCTGTGACAATATTAATAATTAAAATGTTAAGCTATTTTCAAAGTCTTTCCACTGAATTCTTCACAGGCTTGCTGAAAACTAAAGAACAATCAAGGAATGGTAAGAGATTCCTACAACCATTTTTACGGTCAGAGGTCATTCACTTGCCTTGAAACACAGCACTGTGACTTACTTAGGGTTGGTCCTCCATCAACAGGAGCTGAGCCTAAGTGTGTAAGTGAGATGCTGAGTTGGTGCTGAATGACAGGCTCTGACAGTAAAAAGCTGGATGCCATTTCATCTCTATGAGACTCAGTTTCCTCATCTGTAATCTGGATAACATCATACCTGTTTCAATGTGGAAAATCCTTTAAACTGCAATGGACCATGAAGAACACGGAAGGAAACCTTCTTTAGAGCATTTGGGACTTGCCCGAGTCAGTTCCTTCTGACGTCTTCTTTAACATAGAACATGAGTGACATCACCTGATGTACTTAACAGTTGGTCCCTAAAACTGAACTGAAACTCAATACGGACACTTTTATTTGGTTTTTCCTGATGATTGCATTTACCTTCTTAGCTACTCCTTGTTCACGATTCACCAGGGGATGGCTGATTTGGATTGATCATCTATTTTATTTCTTATGCACCCAGCAGAATGGCAGTTAAAGTTCAAAACTTACGTGATGGTTCTTTCATCCTTAGTCATAACCCTTCTACAGTTGCTTGAGATTGATAGTCATAGAGCCCATAAGTGTAAGATCACTCCAGGCTGCTCTTCTAACCTCTAAATGGAGTCAGTCCTGAGGGATGGATAGAATTTCACTGCGTTTTCCCATTTCATTTGTATAATGAAATCATTGCTTGGCCTTCATCCTGTACTTTTACCCTTTCTGGTCTTGAGGTGGACCATTCAGTAACCCCCTTCAATGTTTCTAGGAAAACTAGGAATTTTAAATGGACTCTCATCAAATCTTCAAAATCTGGTTTTCCCCCTAAATACAACATACTAAAAAATCCTCCCCCCAAATAGCATTATGCATTTGCTGTCTGTTTGCTTGTATTTATATGCACATAGAAGTAAGTAGATGTATAAATCTGTAACATGTGAAGTTGTGTGCATGTTCTTAGTCACTCAGTCATGTCCAACCCTTTGTTAACCCATGGCCTGTAGCCCACCAGGCTATTCTATTCATAGGATTCCCCAGGCAAGAATATTGGAGTGGGTTGCCATTTCCTTCTCCAGGGGTTCTTCTCAACCCAGGGATTGAACCTGTGTCTCTTGTATCTCCTGCATTAGCAGGTGGGTTCTTTACTGTCTGACCACAAGGCAACATTCAAATCATCACCTGAAAATGAATCACTTATTGTCACTAACCGGGTCATGTTACTGTAGTGTGATCACTCTTAATGTTAAAGAACACCAGAACTTCAGCCTTACCTGGAATCAACTGAAACCCTTGCTAAAACAGATATTAGCAAACCTCACCCCAGAATTATTGAGTCAGACTCAAGAGGTGAGACTCAGAACTGGCATTCTTCAAAAACATTGAGAAACATTGTGGTGGAGAAGTGGTTCAGCCCGTTTTCTGAATGATGCCTCTATTTCTGACTCTACTATGAGAATCTAATGTTTATCCTGGAGAGTGCTTAAAGAGGACAAGCTCCCAAACAGATTTTGTTAACATAGTTCCAGGTGGCAGCTGGAAAAGGCAACCTGACTTGGCATCCCACCCTCAGAAGTTGGAACCTACAAGAGCTCAGGCAAGCTGGGATCTACTTTATGATGGAACAAAATGGTAGGTTTCTTAGGCAGCTCTCTTTACCATCTGCTTGGTACCCTCCTCTTTCCCTAAGAAGCCTTATCTGACAACTTTTACTGACATCACATTTCATGAAATTTAATGAGGTTCTTCAGTTTGAGATATCACCAACGATCCAAGAAATGACAGTCTAATATCACAAAGATGCTGAGATAACTAGAAAACTCCCACATAGTCTACAAGTATTTGCTGGCTCTCCACATTTCTCTATTACTCTCCTTCATCTATCGACCCTTGTTTTGGAAGAAGAATATAAATATTCACAGGAGTAAAGAAGGCAATGCATTTTTTTTTTCTGAATTTACCCAGAAAAAAAATGAGAGGCCTCCATCTAACCAGTCATTCATTATTCTTTATTCTCCTCTTTCTAAAAATTTAGAAGTAATTGAGAAGTAATTACTTCTCTAAAAATTGAGAAGTAATTTAAGCAGTCATATACAATTGTATTCTCTGCAGTCCACTCAATTCATGCTATAATTCATAACCATTAGCTCACCAGCCCAAGACTTTTCATTAGAATGGTGACATTATCTTACTGACCCATCACTTCTTTTGCTCACCGGTGACTTGCCATATGATCTTGGGTGAGTAACTTTGACTATCTGTGGCCAGGAGCTCCTATCTACCCCAGTGTAAGGAGATTAATGACAGTGAGGATTTGGAGGCTCATGAAAGGAACACACATTTCACCTAAGTAACAAATAATCTCTGATAAAAGTGATGACCGCTGTGTTTTAAAATTGAGACACCATTCAATGCTTATAGAGGAAGGTTTTGTCTGAGATATGTACAGATAAAGATGAAGTTATCAAACTGCCTGACTTCAGATGGATCCAACCCTAACCAGTGAGACAAACCAAAGTCCAGGAAAAAGGAATTTGTTTCTGAGTTTGAACTTCATTTCAGTGTACTTGGAAAGGAAGAGCTAATAACACTCTTTTCTCCCTTAGAATAAATCAGTAGAATCTCTTGTATAGTGAGTAAAAATTAGAATAGCTCTAGGAAGCACACACATGTTGGTGTTATTCTCTGGGGAACACAACACACATACTCACACCCCACATATTTTTACACACATCTACACACTTACAAATTTGGCACCATGATGGTTCAACCAATGTTTCTGAATCATCCACCAAAAAATTTTATATTGGTACAAGTGTATTCATAAGAAAATGAAGTCATATAGCCAGCTATTTTCAACTAGCACTTGGAACTGAGTATAACATTTCTCTTTAAGTTCTAGATGTTCTAATTCAAAAAAAAGTTTAAAGATCCAATAGATTTTTCTTTTCCATTTTATGACAGATATTTGGTTGCTGAAGGATTTTTTTTCAGCCTTTTTCTTTTTTTACCAACACCCTTAGAGATCTAATTCATGCTTCAATGAGAAAATCTACACCTGTGATCTGCAGATGTAAGTAGTAGTCAGATAAAGCAGGTTAAGAGAGTAGCCTTCACAACTGGTTATTTATGGCATAAATAGAGGTAAAGTTTTGGAAATAAATTTGTTGGTTTGTAACCAAAATCCCACCAATGTTAAATATTGGGCAAGAAGAAGGAGATTGTTGAATAAATTATAGAATGTTCACTTGATAGAAATACCACAGTGATAAGCAAGAAGCCTGGTTACCAATTACAAAGATGCTCATAGTATCATGTTAAATGAAAAAGTCAACAGATAAATCAATAGATCAGAAGAGAAAAATTTGAAATAAATTTCCACATTTATGGAAAAATAGTTTGAGGCAAAGATGACATTTTTGATTAATAAAGAAACAGGTATTTTCTAATAGTGTTGAGACAACTAAGTTGCTACCTGAAAAAGCGTAATCCTCCTTAACATGTATACCAATATAAAAGCCCAGAAGAATGATAGAAAGTTATACCATAAAAGCACTAGGACAAAGCATAGAAAAATATTATATTCTTAAAATTAAAAAGTCTTTCCAACTATACCATTAAACCAGAAAGACAATAAAAAATTGATCAACCCAACTGTGTAAAAGCAGGCTATTATATGCTCCTCTCCCCTGAATAAACATCATAAACAAAGTTAAAAGACAATATATAGAGAAAATATTTACAACTCTTAATGTAAAAGTCTATTTAATATATAAAGAGTTCTTTAAAATCAACATTAAAAACCCCACTGAAAATGGGCAGATGTTAGCAAAAATTTATAGAAAATAAATATGATGGCTTTTAATCATGGACAAATTTTCTCAAGTTCATTTATACTAAGAAACAGAGAAGCTAAAACTTCAAGACGGTACTGTATTTTATCTGTCAGATTAACAAAGACCAAAAACTTGAGACACACCACATTATGGGATAATGAACACGGTCATTCATTGCTAGTTGGTGTATAAGTTGGTAAACCTCTTGGAAGTCAGTCAAAATACATAAAGCACATACTGTTTGACCTAACAATTCCATTCCCATGAATTTCTCGTGAAGATGACATTTTAAAGTTTCTATACTCTAAATTCAAGAAAGGAAAAGATGACTGTTCTTTGGCCATAGTCCCAAGGCATAAACAATGCACTATAACTTTTTTTCAAAGTCATTCCAGTCAATCAGTGAAAATGAGATTTACTAACTGCACTTCTTAAAGCCACATGCCATCGCCAAGGTTCTGCAACTGAAGGTCAACCAGTCTTTTAACACTCTTGCTTCTGGAATTCTGTCAATCCCTGGACTCAATGCTTCCCAAACCCTATATAAGATCAGCTTTTGCATTATTTTGATACAACTATATCCCACAGCTACTCTTTTCCCTTGTATAGCAAGAAAAAGAGTCAGTTTTTGCTGTAGGTACTGAGTGGTGGCCTTTACTTTCAAACCAAATACACATATGAGAAACAACATGTGTGTAAGGACGTTCATTAAAGTATTCATCAAATATTGCTTAATAGAGAAAAATTATAAACAATAAAAATAATCTGAAAGGTCCAGTAAATTAGAAAACCAGAGATGATATCAGATGTCTCCTTGAAAGGGAATTAGTTGTCATGGGGCAAAGGAGGGAAGAAGAGATGTATATATTTCATTCACTCACTTTCAATGTTTTTTTCTTAAATATTGCTCAGGATTTCAACAGTTTGTGCCATATGAAAAAAAGCGTATGAATTGGTAGCAAAATAATAATAGTTGCCATTTCTAAATAGCTAGGCGATAGTTTTAGAAGGGTCCTTTCCCAAAAATATTTCATAATTTTGTGACATAACATTTTAAACTAAAACTTCTTAAATGTCACAGCAGAGATAATACAAAAATACAACAAATACAATTACTCCCTTGCAGGTTGGCATATAACAAACCATGGAGTGACATAAAGAGAATCTTACTTATTAAGAGCAATAATCTAAATCTAAAAGAAAGGAAGCATCCAAGAAGCCCAAGTACATCACAAAAGCACAACTGACAGGGCAAGAGCTTCCTATGATATCAAGAGGCTTCAAGCAAAAGCCCAAAGTTCAGCAGAGACTTGGACCTCTAGAGCTCAGACCAGGAACTTATCCCAACAGCTCCCAGTACCGCACTAGTGATGCATTGTAACCAAGAAGCAACATAGATGCAGCTTTTGTCTATATTCTAAAGTAGACCTAAAAAGAGGTGAGAAATACTTTAAATTTTACACTTCCCCCTGATGCACTAACTAATACAAGGAAGCACTCAGCAGTATCAACTTACATAAGATAATATTTGCTTACACCACAGCACCCATCAGAAATACCTCTCCATCTCTAATGTCAGATGGCTGAACCATCAAGTTCACCAAAATACAACTTCTAATCTCCTTACCTTCAGACAGCATGATCTTGAATTCAGAGTGTTTTCCTTGCACCAGACCACTCTCTAAAGGGAGAAAAAAGTGGAATGAATTAAATAATGTAATGAAAAAATGTAAAATAAATTCAGTTTAGAAGAAAAACTCAACTTAAGGTCATCGAGGCTAGGAAAAATGCTAACTTCATCAGTCTGGTCTTGGCAAATCACAGTGCAGTATTACTTGGATTCTCATCAGTAATCTTGTTGGTCTCAATTAATTTGAATTAACTCCATCCTCTCCCACCCTTTATGTCAGTAGTTTGGTATTTTCCTTACACTCTACCCTCCAGGGCTTCCCTGGGGGCTCAGACTGCAAAGCATCTGCCTGCAGTGCTAGAGACCTGGGTTCAATCCCTGGGTTGGGAAGATCCCCTGAAAAAGGGAATGGCTATCCACTCCAGTATTCTTGCCTGAAGAATTCCATGGACAGAGGAACCTGGCAGGCTACAGTACATAGGGTTGCAAAGAGTCAGACATAAGTGAACCAACTTAGCACACATCAGTCTAAAATGAACTATTGATCTTCAGGTATTCTGCGCAGATTCTGGCAAACACGGTGATGTCCTCTGGGTAAGCCCCTCTCTGACGGAAGCCCTTCTGCCCCGAGGTTACTGCCCCAGCAGGGGAGGGTCCAGAATACACCTTGAAATTAGGCTGCTGCAGCAGGTACTGCAAATATCAGGGTAAGAACCCATTCCTGCCACATGTCACATGCCAGGTCACTGTGTACACACAGTGGATCATGCTGAGGATCAGGATCCATCTGAAAAACCATTTTTGGTAATCCTGTTACTAACTCTTCCCAGACTCTCTCATCCTAGATTCCATTTCACACTGCTCCTTCTCTGAAGTCTTTCATCAGCAGAGCTCTGCTTTGTTTCCACTGCTCCTCTCTGGGCGCTAAGTGCTGCTTCCAAATGCCTGTGTATGCGCTGAGTCGTTTCAGTCGTTGTCTGACTCTTTGTGACTCTACGGACTGTAGCCCACCAGGCTCCTCTGTCTATGGGATTCTCCAGGACAAGAACACTGGAGTGGGTTGCCATGCCCTCCTCCAGGGGATCTTCCAGACCCAGGAACTGAACCCAAATCTGCGGCGGCTCTTGCATTGCAGGCAGATTCTTTACTGCTGAGCCAACGCTGTCCCCAGTTCTCTCACACTCAACATCCGTGCCCATACCCATGTACTGCTTGTTTCCTAAGAGCCCATGAAAATTGCCCCGACTCTGACTAGGCTTCACTTGGCTCCTTTGACACCCACTCTGTTTTGATGTGCGAAGTCCATTTTAACTTTCTTGTCCATGCTACAAAACACAGATTTCAGGAGCATCCAAGTGAGCCCGGAGCACTAGACCGCAGAGCCAGCAGGATACGCCTCCCCTTTGATGCCATCCGTGGGTTGGTCTGAAGGGCTGGCGTCAGTGCAGGAGTCCTAGGGCATCTGTTTATCCCCCCAACACTAGTCCTAGGGACTTACTGTGGGGGAAACCCTGGGGCACTTGTGTCTGCTCCCTATTCCTGATGTGTAGCTAAGAATGTGGATATATGTATATCTGAGGGAGGAAAGGAACAGACCAAGCTAACTCCATCTTGAAAAAGAAGTAAACTCCATCTTGCACTATAGCCATGGGGATCACATACCTACAGCTGAACTGGCCTTCCGGACTGAAAAACACCAGATTCCATACCAAGATTTCCTATTGCCAAAAAGAATGTAACGATCCCCTTGTGTAGTCGATCGCCTTTGTAATCTGTATGGCACCCATTGGTGTAGGCTACTTTGTATAGCCAGCTGACCCTTCTGATTATGAATCATGGCTGTGACCTAACTGTATCTCCCTTTAACACTTTCCAGGCTAGGTTTAAGGAATTTGGGGAGGTGGGCTTGAGCAGTACACTTAAGGTATATAAGGTTTTCACAAAAGTTGGTCGGGGTCTTTGGCTGAAAGGAGACTCTGCCTTGGGCCCGCCGGTATAATAAGCTGCACTCCACTATCTGCATTGTCCTTCTGAATGAGTTTGTTTCCCAGAACACGTGGCTACCACATATCAACAACTTACATGTGGAATCTAGAAAAAATGGTACAGATGAACCTATTTGCAGGGTGACAACAGAGACGTAGACATAGAGCATGTGTATAGACACGGAGGAGGAAGGCGGGCGGGGAGATGAATTGGGATTGGGGGTTGACATATATACACGACCATGTGTAAAACAGATAGCTAGTGAGAACCCACTGTACCGCACCAGGAGCTTGGCTTGGGGCTCTNGATGAATTGGGATTGGGGGTTGACATATATACACGACCATGTGTAAAACAGATAGCTAGTGAGAACCCACTGTACCGCACCAGGAGCTTGGCTTGGGGCTCTGTGATAACCCTAGAGTGGGTGGGATGGGGTGAAGCAAGAGAGGAGGCTGATTCACTTCATTGTAGGGCAGAAACTAGTGCAATGTAGTAAAGCAACTGTTAGGTAGTTAGAAGAGGAAAAAGGAGTCCAGAATGGCAGTGGCTAAAACACAAAGAAGGGGAAAACCCGCGAAAATAGAACAAAGGAAGTTTCGAGGACCGGAGTGAGGACCTCAGGTAGAACAAACAGCACTCTTGGCTAGCCCAGTTTACATAGGGCAGGCCCGGGGGAGGAAAAAAAAAATATATATATATATAAAAAGAGAAGCCAAAGGGCCAGGGGTCTCTCCCCCACACAGGCGCACACGTGAGCGTGTGCTAGTTCTCTCTCTCTCTCTCTTTCCTTTGCATCTTTTGGGTAGGCATGCCCTCACACCTCAAGGATGTATTTTCCTTAATTTTCTAAATAAAACTGACCTGTCCGAGAACTATAACACAGACTGTCCGAGAGCTGTGACGTGCCAAGGACTTTAACGTCTGTCGCTTCAAATCTTTGTTGTGACGAGACAGAACCGAGCAGATTACACTCCCCTGACACAACTAGACCCAAATAAATACATAAATATTTTTTAAAAGAATGTGGAGACATACTGAACTGTAGGGTTTTTTGGTTTTTTTCTTCAATTTTTCTGTATGGAGTTGTTACTGAGTCCAAGCTCCCTCTGCCTGCCGCACACGACAGGCCTGTGATTGCGAGAGACGGGGTTGAGGCAAGGAGGAGACCTGAATGATGGAGCCAGCTGACCAACGAGATGGCAGGCTAGTGCCTCAAAATAGCCATCTTGTCAGGGCCTGGTTGCCAGGGCAGGGGGGCAGAGGACGTGAGGAAATAAAGTAAAAAGACTATTCAACCCCTGCAAATGTCCCCTAGAATGGCAAGCCTCAGGCAGAGGGATGTGTAGGTTTCACTTCCCTACAGTCCTGCACGGGGGGTTGATCAGGTTATCTTCCTGAGGCAGGCCATTATGGACGTTTATAATAACAAAAAAGGGTTTAAGTCACAGAACCAGATCCAGGGTAAACTTAAAATTAACCATAAAAAAGAAAAAAAATATTACTCCTTCCTGGTTACATAATCTAAAACAAACCTTTCTGGCTGCCATCCTTAGGGGTAGCCGAGGGCCTAGTCAGGAGTGTGTCTTTAACAGATGAAGTAGCCAGTCCAAAACCACAACTCTTCTCCATGGCCCTTAAGCCCTGGGGGAGACAACCCTTTCCCTTCAGCACTAGGACCAACTCCAGAGCCCAAAGCCCATGGGAATCTTTCCAACTAGACTTTCCTAAGCTGTGCATCCACCCCGCTTTGTCTTCCCTGTGTGTGTATGTGTTAGCCGCCCACTCATGCCTGACTCTGCAACCCCATGGACTGTAGCCCACCAGGCCCCTCTGTTCCTGGAATTTTCCAAGCAAGAATAATGGAGTGGGTTGCCGTTCTCTGCCCCACAGGATATTCCTGACCCAAGGATCGAACCTGCGTCTCCTGTATCGCAGGCAGATTCTTTACCATCTGACCCACAGGGGAGCCTTTCCTTTCCTGGGGAAACTCAGTAAAGACCAAGGCCTCAAGGCTACCCCTCCACCCCCATCTTCTGCCTCCACTCTGGGGTCTTTCCCGTAAGGTCCTGCCTCAAGTCGCCATAATATAATAAACTTTGTTTTGTTTTTTTCCCTGAGCCGCTCCTTGATCTCATCTTGTGGCCATATCTGAATGATTATTCATAAAAGAATACAGTGCGCGCACGCACACACACACACACACAATGTGGAGGATATAGAAATTGTATGTAAGTTGAAGACAAGATCCCAGTAAAGGCATCTTCTTACACCTTCACATTTCCCAACAAAATCCAAATTCCTTGCTGCCTTGACTTCCTTCCCTAGCATTCTGTGAAGGGAACTTCCAAAAGAGCCACCTGTAACATGCTTTGGCCAGGTTTCTTAATCATATGCAAATGCAAATGACGTGCAAATGTCACCTCCTCAGAGAAGCCTTCTATGATATGTCAGGTCCTCCTTCCTGGCTGTCCCCTTCATGTTCTCTTCTGCTACCTGGCATTATTTCTTCATGGCAACCACCCATGTGTATCAGGTTAACTGATGTTCCCACACTCACCCCTCTATCCCCACTTGGGATGGGGAGGCCTTGGCTATCCATGGATGGGTGTCCAGCACAGGGCAAGGCGAGAACCAGATGCTCCACACAGGTCCACGAAATTCCTTAAATTAATCTGTTTCCTATTCAGATGAGCTAGAAAGGCCCAGAGAGTTGGCCCAGCCCAGCCTAGATTACTCAGAGAATTGTAATAACATTTTGTTCAAGTCCAGAAATACTTGCTGTAAGTATTGTCTCAGATTTTTTTGTTTTGCTTTGCTTTTTAGAAAATAAATAAAAGTAGTAAATGGGGGCTGCTTTTTCCCTCAAGGGAAGCCCAGAAAAGCAACTGTATATTCTATGAAGAACATAAATATTTCTTAGTCATGAACAAGAGATTTTTCAGGAATTCTCAGGAATTCTGAGCTTTGACCTTCCTCTTCCCATGGTGAATTAAAAGCCACAGAGGCTGCTGTACACACAAATTCTACATACGAATCTGAGGGTCATGCTTGTCCCCCTCAAAG